GCCCAGGGGTGGGATGGAAGGCCCACGGTGGTGGCAGCTTTGGCCATGAGCGGTGATAAAGGATTCTGTGCTTTGTATGTATACGTGTGTACCTATGTGTCCATAGGCATGTCAGGTGAGTGAGTTCGGGGGACAAGAGAAGGAAAGTGAAATAAGCAGGTTAGCTGAGCCTGGAGAGCTTCTTCTACAGAGAAACAGGGTTCGTGTGGTTGCTGTTGCGAGATGACCCCAGGGGTTACAGAGTAGAACTGCCCCCCAGGAGTCCGTGCCTGTGAACTCCACGGAAATGGACGGCCAGGCCTTCACCCCATTCAAATCTTAAGGTTCAATGACTCAACTATCATTTAAACAGTGGCTCTAAAATCTTGTTGGGTGTGTAGCTGGTCAGCACCGGGCATGAGTCTGTGGGTGGGGGAGTGACCCATGACAGAGAACTCACCCTCAGGGGCTGCGACAGAGTCGCTTGATAAGCCTGAGGCTGAGAATCAAGTGCCCTTCGGGGTGCAGGGAGAAGGGCTGCCTGCAGTGAATGCCTGCCATGGGCTGTGCCCTACCTGGTGCCTGTGTGATAGGGGCCCGACAGGCACCTGCCTGCAGCCTTCTGATGATGGGAAATCCATCTGTCTTCTAAAGTTTATGCTCTTAATGCTTATTAACCCTTGAGACTTGCCACTGAGAGATAGATAGATAGATAGATAGAGAGAGAGAGAGAGAGAGAGAGAGAGTTGGGGGTTAGTGAGGGAGGTGACAGATGAAAACATTCCACATCTTCATATTTTCACAATTTAAGAAAGAGAATTGTGAGGGACCAAAGAGCCAGGTAAGAGAGTCTCTCTCTCTCTCTCTCTCTCTCTCTCTCTCTCTCTCTCTCTCACACACACACACACACACACACACACACGTTATTGTTGGATCGAGGGCCTTTTGTTTGTTTGGACCCTTTTGCTCATTAGCCGATGAGCAGCTGTACCCAGTTCTTCAGCAGCATTTTATCCTTTGCTGCCAGGGGCTCCCCCCCACCCGGGGCAGCGGCAGGCAGTCCAGGAGGGCTGCAGCCCAGGGCCAGCCTGCCGCCCTGCTCCTGGGAGTGGCTGTCCTCTCCAGCAAGGGTCCCATGACAGCAGCCTGCCGGCCTGCCCCACCTCCTTCTTGCTGGCCCTGCCTCTGAGTGCCCCTCCCTTTTCCTCCTCCGGACTAGGAATCTAAAAGTCAGTGGTCAGAACCCACCAGAGGCGCCTTTGAAGCCACGGTCTCTAACCCTCTTTGGGGCAGTTCCCCTTTACCTGCCCGGGTGGGCCATGAGTCGGGATGGGGGTCTTGCCCCCAGTAGGAGCTCCCATCATCAGCCCCTGGGACCGTGGCTGAGGTTTAGCAAAGGTGGGCTCACAGCACCTAGGGATGAGCATCACACCGCACGGGCCACACAGTGAGTATCTGCAGCCTTGGTCAGCTATAGGCCTTTGTCTGCTGTTCTCAGGCGAGAGGCTCGGGCAAGGCTAGCTGATGAAGGAACAGCAATGGTTTTGCTTCTCCCTTTCGGGGGGCACAGACTTCTTAAAGACAGGGCCTGGCACACAGTCCGTGCTCAATAAATGTTAGGCTGCTGAGTAGCTGGCTCTATGACATGCCCCTCAAAAGCCTCACTAGGAAGGGGGTGGGGTGGGGTGCAGAGGGGAGGGGCTGCCTCTGACATGGTCAGACATGGTCAGGGTGGAAAAGTTGCAAAATTTTGGTGCAGTGTTTCAGCAGAGTTTCTTCTTTCTCATGAAAATAACCTTGTGGTTGTAACAACAAAAACCTTTCTGCAAGCCCAGCCTACACGTATCAGAACAGCTACGCAGCTAAGTCTCTGTGCTAGTGTAGTGTGGACCTTCTGAGGCCCTGTGGCCAGAGCTGTCGTTAGTACCCAATGTCCCTGTGTGCTGCCGTGTTTTCATAGTTCCTGGTTTTGTTGGTGTTTCAGCTGCCACAGTGTGGTGATTAGTATTTGCGAGCCTCTACCAATAGGGTTTCTGGGGATGATGTGGTAATTAAAGGAAAAGGAGAAAAATTGCAAAAGGTCTCTGTTAATTACTAACGTGGAACTAATGATTTAGTGATTCAATGCAGAAAGCGTATATAAAACAATTTTGTTGTTGGTAATTGTATAATCTAAGAAACAGTACAGGTGAGCAATTTATACTGGTATCCCCCATTATTCTTGATTAAAATGACAATAAACATGAAGGATTCTGAATGGTCTGGTGTGGGAGGGTGACATCATGAGTTACCGCCCTGGGTGACGCCAATCTTCTTGATACCACTGATGTCCAGAATTGAGCAGTTTCCAAGACTGTAACTCTTGACAGGAGAAGAAAGCCCTGCCTTTCTCCCAGGGAATGGCTGGTGGTTTTGAACTGCTGACCTTGCTGTTAGCAACCCAACTCATAACCACTACACCACCAGGGCTTCTTAAACCCAGGGGAGCCATCATTACTATTTCATGTTTGTAAGGCAGACACTGAGACTCAGATGAAGAGTGCTGTATCCAAAGCCACGGCAGAGAACAGCAGCAATCAAACCCTCGCGCCTGCCTCTACCTAAAACGAAATCATCATCATTGTCTGGATTGGGATGGCTGTTTCTCCTGCTTTGTGCCAGGTATTCTAGAAAAGCAAGGTCTCATCTTTGATCAGCACAACACTCCATTACTTTCTCCAGTGGGTTGTGTGTGAGTGTGTGTGTGTGTGTGTGTGTGTGTGTGTGTGTGAATGCTGCTCTATCCAGGGCCAGGAAGAGCCTCTAAGATGCGGCAGAGAGAGCTGTGAAGTCCCATCACCCAGCCTATCAGCTCCCTCTGTGGGGCATCAGGCTAGGTCCTGCTCAGCACTCTCTCAGCTGGGTGTCCACTCGCTGGGCACCACCCCCTGTTGCTGTGCCATATGGTGTTCAGGCTGGAAGTGACCACAGTCAGGTCTCCACCGCCCAAAACTCGACTTCCTGCTCACCTCCTCCAGGAAGATTTCCCCAGTGACCCTCCTTTTGGAGGACACCCTCCCACCCTCCCCTTGAGATTGGGAACCACATCCCAGAGAGGGGGAGGCTGCAGCAGGTGGGGACCTAGGCTCTTTAGGCCCCCTCTGCTGCTGTGGCCACATTCAGCACATTCAGCCTTCCACTGAGGCCAGTCTGGCATTCTGGGCTGTGAGCACCAGGCCCCTGCCTGTTAGTCCCACACGGGGCTCACACCCCAGCTAGGGGACAGAGGAGACTCTCCCAGGCCCCACTGCGGAGGAGCTCACTGCCCAGGAGGACGAGCCTGGATTCTGAGCCTGCTCATCTCTGGGGCAGGTCGCATTTGAGATAGTTTACCAACATTAATGCTTGGGATAGCGGCAAGGAGCCCTGGTGGCCCCATGGTTAAGCACTGACCAAGAGGTTGAAGTCAGACCTGGTGGCCTGTTCCCATGAAGCTTACAGCCTAGATGACCCTAGGCAGCAGTTTTGCCTTGTCCCGTGGGGGTGTTGAAAATCAACAGCGCCTAACCACAACCAGGATACCAAACCCACTCCCTTGGAGTCTTAGTGGCCCCGTAGGACATAGGAGAACTACCCCCTGGGCATCCCAAGCTGCAACCCCTAAGAAAGCGAGCTGCACACCTTTCTCTTATAGAGCGGCGGCTGAGGGTTCAAAACATCAGCCTCTCAGATAGCAGGCACCACCTTCACCATTCACTCCTCCCACCGCATCAGATGAGGAATGTGAGCTGCCCTCAGACATAGCAGCTGAGGCAGTCCGTGAGGGACTGCGTCCACCTAAGGGACGGGTCTTGGAAACAGAGCCTCCCCAGCCAAGCCAGCCTTCGGATGAGGGTGCAGCCCAGAGCGCCCCCCACCCCCCACGGAGGGCCACTCTGGGCCGTGGTGCAAACTAGAGGAGGGCTGTCCCCACTCTCAAAGACCTCCCGCTGGAGCAGGGGAGGCCAACTCTGAAGGGACCGTGCGAGCAGTGGTAGGGAGCCTGCTCAGCCTGGAGACGTCAGCAGAGGCTTCCCAGAGGAGAGGCCATCTGGGACAAGACGGAAGGAGAACCTTCCAGGCCACAGCGGAACAGAAGGATACGACAACACCTTGGGAATCGGTCGAGAAAAAGGCCAAGACAGGCTAAGGGGACTGGTCCCACATGGGGGACAAGGAGAGGTAGAATGCAGCACAAAGCTAGCTGGTGAGAGGGAACCTGGCACAGGGGGGCACAAAGGTCCGTCACATGTGCACGGAAAGCCTAGGATTGATCTGCAGGGCACAAGGGAGCCGATGAGAGCTATAGGCAACGGAGGGGCATCGCTGGCAAGACTGTGCACCCAGACACTGGCGGCGAGTAGAAGATAAAGCGGAAGGTCCAGTGGGAGTGCAGGAATCCCGGGAGGAAGAGGCGACACTGGCCCCGGGAAGAAATGACCAGGCGGGGCTAGCAGAGGAAGGCTGCAGGGTCCATAGGCTTTGCAGACAAGAGGGGGTGACATGGCCGAGATGTGGGGTGTGACCAGCTAGGAGAAGGGTGAGGGAACCAGAGGCGGCTGGAATGCTGCTGGTTTCCGTGGCGATGTCCTGTGGTTGTGCTTCTCCCTAGGAGACGGTGCGGGGCCATGGACGGGTATTGGCTGGGGGGTGGGGGGCAAGCTGGAAATGGTGCCAGAGAGAGACAAGGAGGCAGATGCGCTAGGAGGCGGGGGTCACTGGTTAGCCGAGGACACCGAAGGTACACAGACCTGGTCAGGGACAGGGGTGATGAGGAGAGGTATTTTCTTTGCAAAGTTGTTGGTGGGGGGAGGGGGCGCGCGAAGGGTTAGCATTTGGGCAGTCTGAGTGCAGAGATCTACTGG